TGGTGCCTGGCTGTTGAATGTACTAGCGCATTATATTAGACAACTGAATATTTGAGGGAAAGAATGAAAAGTTCTGATATCTGTGATAAACCACACATAAATGCACATCTTCACTTGCTTGTATGATTAACATTATTACCTTCTATATATAAACCTTCAGTGACTTTTTTTGTTTCAGTGAGATTCCCACTAAAAAATTTTTTATTCTGACAAATGTTTGGATTTTATTTTACACAAATGCTATTTACCTTCTAATTTATAGTTTAAACCATTTTTCTTTAAATAGTTTATTTTATTTCATTTTTTGAAGCATTTTTTATCACCGTTTGTCCTAACAAGACCTTCCACAGTGCTTCATGTAAAAATATAAAACTTCAGAGAACAAAAGTGGAAAGTTTGAGATCAGAGTTAGAGCTTTCAGTTTAAAAGTGCCAAGACAAGTGCAATAAGAAGATCCTCTCTGAATGCCCTTGGGGCATTCCTAGAAAAAGGAATTTCACAACCAGAATGCGATTGTCACAAAATAAATGTGTTGGCTCGTGCAAAAGATCCTCTGAAGATAAATTCAACTACTGGCAGATTCACACAAAAAGAGATGATCTCTCAGATCTCCTGGTCTTATGATGTTTAGAGATTTGATAAATCAGCTGTAACTCCTTGAAATGAATTAGAAGCCCAAGAAGTTATCATAAGCTTGTGGAAACATACTCTAAAGCAGATGTCTAATCTTGGTAACAACTTCAGTTCCCAGACTTCTCCAGTTAGCATGGATTCACAGTTGAGGAGCATCACTTCTGGAGTATAACATGGCTGGCTGGGGAATTCTGGTTGTCCACAGGTCATAAAGTTACCAAGGCTGGCCTGGTTAAAGCAATTTGAACTAGGGAGTGAATATACTGCAGGATCCAATCTGAGTTGATCACTGTGACCGCCTGGATACATGTGCCACATGTGCTCTCTCCTGTAAAGATATCTCTAGCCATAGAGAGTACATTCATTAGGAATGAAGGCAAATTTACATACGCCAGGATAATGCTGCAGCATCCAATCTGAGTCGGTCACAGAGGTTTTGTCTTTTGAGTTTTCGGACTCGTGCTGGAACCCATCTTTGGGGAACTTCTGTCTAGCAGAGTGTGTGAGTTGGGCTGTTCTGTGTGTGGTATTTATATATGATGCCTCTTGTATGTGGCTTTTGTAGATATTGATTAGGGCAGTGGTCCCCAACCCCCGGTCCGCGGACCGGTGCCGGGCCGTGGAG